TAATCCCTCACATCAACCAGAACGCAGGTTATATAACAACTTCTCCAGACCCTTTTGTAGTAAAGCTCAATAAAACGAAATTTTGAACTATAAAAAACGAAACGAAATAGGATCTGTGTTTTAATCAAATTGGTTGGTCATCATTCTGTTTGAATTACGAGAGAAGGTCCGATCCAACCATAATTCGGCTCTGCCTGTAAAATCAGTTCATAATATCTTCGATTTTATCAAGCTGCCCATGCAATATACCATTGTTCGTAAAACAGCGAGCCACGGGCATTAAATGGTTAATTAACGTCTGTCAGAATATACATGTGTGAGTACTCTTGATTGTTAATTCTTGACATTTTAATTCTATTCTGAGAGGTACTTTGCCAACTCGTAGGGTCTATGGAGATGTTGTTGAAGCTGGATATTATTAACTCATGAACAAGGGGGGGTAAGATTGTTAGCAACAAGACACCAGGGCCGGATTTAACAAGAGGCATTGTAGGCCAGTAAATGGACGTACATTTCTGATTGTTAACGAAGCAATCTATCTCGATCAAAAAGAAGCATTTGGTCGTTTTGACAATATTCTTTTGGGTAAAACGAACCCCCCCCCCCCGAGACTCTTTGGTCAATGTAACAATCCATCTCGATCAAAAACACGCATTTAGTCGTTTTGACACTACTCTTTTGGGTAAAACGAACCCACCGAAACTCTTTGTTTATGGTAATAAACTCATTCAAATAAAATAAAGGATTTTATCAACATGGTTTCCTGAATATAATATTATGTAGGACATTCAATATTAGTAACCAAATACTTAATTACACTATCGGCTTATCGTTAATAAAAAAAACCCATAGCAACAAGATCAAGTTTATCAGTTAATACGAATTTAATGTTATCTGTTTAACAAACATCACTATCTAAAATTAGAAATAAGCTAAAGAAATAGGATATGACGTTTTTATTCAGTCCTTTTGAACAAGTTATCTAAGTCTTCTATTATTTCGTGTTTATTTATTTAATAAAGTATGTTTTTGATTTTCCTTTATTGATCTAGAGTGCTTTATCGATTATAGAAATCACGAGGAGGGGGGGGGGGGAGATACCTCCTTCGACTTTCATTAACAGATTTACAATGGTCAGGAATTGCATTTAGGGGTAGTCATAGCAGCTGGTGTTTGATCAAACAAGATTTGATCGCTAACAAGAAAATGCCCTGTTCGTTTTTGTTAACAGATTTACAATAAGTAGGAATTGATGTGGGAAATGAAATGAAATGGGGTTTAACGTCCTACTGTTTTGCTCCGAACTGGGCTAATGAAGACGGGCATACGCCATACAGTGTGCTATGAGGGTAATTTTGCCCGGACAGCGGCACTACGGCCTACTCTTATATCGAATTCCAACTGTCAAGGGATCTTTTACGTGAAAATCTGGATGAACTTTCTCGGCCAATGCAGGGATCGAACACCCGACCTCCAGGCTAGCGAGCCAGCGCCTTACCCACCGTGATCCCCAATTGATGTGGGAGGTGGTCACATAGAATCTGGTGTTTGATCAAACGAGGGTTGGTCTCTAACACAAAAAGTACTCAATTTGTTTTTATTAACAGATTTATAACAATGACCAGAAAATGATATTACAGATAGTTTGATCACACAAATGATGGCCGCTAACAAAAAGGCCTTCCCTGATTTAATTTAAAGATTGGCACTAGGGATTTCTTTACTGAGTCTGTAGACGTAAAAACAAGTTATTTGTTTATTTGTTTATGAAAACTGTATATTATAAAAATCTTAATATACGTGGCATTAAAACACAGATATATCAGAAGTGTCACATTCAGATTGATCCTGGCCAACAACAGCAAAAATCTTATTAAACAATTGTAAGCCATAACATTATTAAAGGCAGTGGAAGTATTGAGTTACAAGTTTAGCTCCCTTGTGCTATGTTCCCACTATCACGATATGTGCTACGATTGCAATCGTAGTTTCAGTCGTAGAGTAATCGTGGTGATCCTGTAAGGTCGTATCATATATTAAGGTCAGTCGTGGCAATCGTGTTGATCGTATCGACACGTATCTGCACGTATCTGCACGTATCGTATCGTAACGCACCGTACGACACTGTGGCGAGAATTGGAACCTGGCCTTAACGTAGTTTCCTTGTTGTCGGATAACTATGAGGGTCTAACTAGGAGGGTTAGATGAGCGGCTATCGAATACTTTGTATATATATATATATGTAACACCAGAGAGAGGGGGGTGGGGGTAACGTCCACCCGTAGAAAACCCACGAGGTTGGACAGGCGATCATACTCCTTGTCACGTACAAAATGGAAATCCAAGCCACACTAGTTGACTCAATGACAGACCTTATGATATAAAGCGCACGCGCTAACCATTCAGCTCCCCCCTCCCTTTAATTTAGAAAATCTACCTTTAGTTAAAAGGGTAGAACATACCGCCATTCTTCTGTCGTTATCTGTGACACCTGGCTAGTTCGTTTTCTGTTATAATATCGGGAATTTTAATTAGACCCAGTAAGGAATTTCCTTGTATCTATTTATATCTTTACTTTATGTAGGCTAGTGCTTGGGTTTTCGTTACTTAAGTATCTACGAACTGGGAGAGACATTTTCTGGATTCCACCGACTTTTCATCGAATTCCTTCTCTTACATGCTAAAACATATGTTCACAGATAAACTTAGGGTCTTATCCCCATTGACATTACAAAATGAAATGAAATGGAGTTAACGTCCTACTGTTCTGCTCAGACTGGGCTAATGAAGACGAGCATTGGCCATACAGTGTGCTATGAGGGAAATTTTGTTCGGACAGCGGCGCTACGGCCTATTCTTATATCGAATTATAACTGCCAAGCGATCTTTTACGTGCCTGCCAATGTGTACGTGGAAAATCTGGTTTTCATCCCAACTGAACAACTAGACAGCTGTCCTTGTCAGGATCTCCGTCCTGCGCCACTGACAAGGGGAGGCCCGGAAAATGTCTATGTTCTTTCTCGGCCAACGCCGGTAGCGAACCCGCAGCCTCCAGGCTAGCGAGCCAGCGTCTTACTCGCTTAGCCACGTAAAATCGTAGATGTAAATAGAAATGAAATGGGGTTTAACGTCATACTCCAACTGGGCTAATGAAGATTGCCATTCGCCATACTGTGATCTATGACGGAAATTATGCACGGATAACGGCATTTCCGCAGACGCTTTTCCGTATCAGGGCCTTTTGTCTGCACCAACAGTCGAATCTCTTAGAACTTAGTGAGCTAGCGATCTTCCTCGTTAATAATAATAAAAAAACTCATTTTGTGTTAATATGTTTATAGGTTTGAGAGAGGTGACAGTCCTTTCAGCAATAAATCAGAAAAGAAATCGACTGAACACACGGATATTGATGTTATACGTGACAAACATTTTGTATTTGAAAATGTTCTAAAATAATATTATCTTTGAGTGGCATTTAGTGATGAGTAATAAACCATTTATACGGAATACAATCCCTATATATTAACACTCAAACGCCATTTTTACGGAATACAATTACTGGGTTTATTATACATTCAGCGATGAGATATTAACATTCAAACACCATTTTTACGGAATACAATCACGGGGTTTATTTTACATTCAGCGATGAGATATTTACATTCAAACACCAGTTTTACGGAATACATGAAATGGGGTTTAACGTCCTACTGTTCTGCTACGACTGGACTAATGAAGACGTGCATACGCCATACAGTGTGCTATGAGGGAAATTTTGCCCGGGCAGCGGCACTATATAGAATTCCAATGGCCAAGGGATCTTTTACGTGGACGCCAAAGTATACACGGGACCTCGGTTTTTCGTATCATCCGAATGACTAAACAGCTGTTCTTGTGTGGCCCTCCGTCCTGCACCACTGACAAGGGGAAACCATGTCGGAATTTAAGGAATACAATCACTCGGTTATATTTTAGCATATATAAGAGCGACCTTTTAACAAATATGCTCAAGCACAATACGAGTATATTTGTCCAAACCTAGTGTGATATTAACAGAAACCAGTTTCTGCGTTGAAAGTACCCCAAGATCGCATAACCAAAATGTACGTGCTGTTCCTAAAACAAAACTAAAAGAATTTGATGATAAGTTTCAGCGCTGCTGCAACTGGTCTTTGATAGAAGTTGCCAGTAAGTCACAACTGAAAACGCATTTGTTTAAACTCTCTTATCCTGAGAGTTCTGTTAATCTCATATCAAGATTAAAAATTATTCTATGTGTTTTTTAATTGACGAGAGACTTCGTAAATGTAGCATGCATAAATGGATCGATTATTGAGCACATTATAAATATACTGGTTATTAAAGTGACCAAGTCTCTAGCTCAATATCACCCAAAGGTTTCGACATTGAAAACAGGAATTATTTGCCAATTTAAATCAACATTGATGTTGTGGTCTTACTGGGAAAAGATGGGCTTCTGATATCCAATATTTAAGACAAACATTTTACCATTGGTGCACGAATCGTGTACCATAATGCGTTTCAGCGCCATTTGTAACAAAGGACGCAAAGAACGAGGCTAGACATATTCCACGAGCCATGTCACAAGGTGACCCCATATTCTTATCTGGAGAGCGTGTGCAATAAATACTATCGGTGTAGACTGGAATAACCAGACGTTAGCGATTGCCATTCGATTGAACATAACTGATTTGAAATTAGAGTAAAAACGAAAACGATTGAATGTAAATCAGTTTATGTACGTTCCTATTACATTATTATATGCGTATCGACCCATTTATGTCAATTTCTAAATCCCAAATATTAGCGATTTAACTCCTTTAATGTAAATGGCCAGTGTGTTTCGATACATACTAGCTATGTGTATGACTAATCCATTCTAAAAAGGTTTCCTCACAAAATAAACTTTTTACTATAGTTATATTTTTTTTATTTTTGTAAACTTCTTAATTTAAAGAATCGTCCATTATATTTTACAGATTGCTGAAGGCATTTCTTCTACCTGGCATTATGAATTGAAGATAAAGTACTAAGCTTTAATGGAACGGTTTGAAATAATAAGATTGGAGTGATTTTATCAACATAAAGAATTCTAAATAGGAGTATGTTTTGTCAAAAGAAATATAGGTGTGTATTTATTCGCCTTGCTGTGTTAACAAGGTGATTAGCTAAAGTATGTATTTGTTCCAGACTGTGTCACCAATACAGCGGCTGAACTAACATCATGCTAAGATTCACAACGAAGTCTTGTCAATCATGGCCATGGAAATCAAAAGAGAGCCGGGTTTAATTTTTAATCTTTCTGAATCTGACTTCTATGTGCAAAATGACGACCATTACAATACCAGTAAAAGCAGTTCGAGTCATGTATGGAACAGTGAGACAGCTGAACGGGTAGCCGTGGTGTCGTTCATCATGATCTGCACCATTCTGGGAAACACCACTTTAATTCTAACCATCTTGTGCAAGCATTCCCGTCGGATTAAACGTGTCAATATATTCCTCCTTAATTTGGCCATAGGGGATCTAGCCGTTGCCTGTTTCACTAACACGACTGAGATATTGTTTTTGGCTTTTGATGAATGGATACTGGGACCTGTTCTATGTAAAGTGTCGGTCTATCTACAAATTGTTACTTTCTCAAGTGCTACATTTCTCCTAATGGCAATGAGCATTGATAGATATCAAGTGATAGTTCGACCTCTTCAAGCTCTTGCTAGTCGACCGCGGATTGGTCGTAAAGTGTTATTGGCTTGGGTAATGGCCTTTATATTTGCGTCACCACAATTGTTAATATTCGTTCAAGTGGAAAAGGGAACTAAATTTGATGGAACTCCACGTCGTGCATGTTTAAGTCATGGGTATACAGCGGAATGGCAAAGAAAAATCTATTTTACCTACATGACCTTGTATATCCTTGTTATACCATCATCTGTTATGCTTTATTGTTACATCAATATAATTTCCGTTGTCTGGTCGCGCGGACAGAGTCATCATCGCCAGTCGGAAACTCTTTCAGAGGATGAACCTTCTAAATCACCGAGAATTTCCGTTCGCCGAGGACTTGTGACGGCAGCCAAACGTCGTGCTGTTATTCTCACCTTAACTGTTATAATTGGATATCTAGTTTGCCTTACGCCTTATTTTATCATTACTCTTATCCGAATTTATAGTAATTATGCAGTTAAACTAAAGAAGCCTTTGGCTGTAGCGGAGAGTATCTTTATGACCCACAGTGCTCTTAATCCAATTCTTTATGGCTTGTTTACACTAAGACGGCGTCACGTCAGAAGGGCCGTAAAACGATTTTCGTGTTGCAATAAACAAGTGAAAAAAACTTATGAGAAAAATCGCCTATTAAATGGAAGCGCTGGTAGCTATCGGAAAACAGTTTCTCATGCGAAAGGTAATTGCCCAACCGATGAAAATTTTCCTTTTTATTTGGATCGTCATGGCAAACGTGCTAAAACGGGCCATCAGAACAATCACAGTAATCAACAAGAATTGTCGCTTCTCGATAACGCGGAAAGCGAGCATGATGTGATCACACTGAGGACTGGAGACAGGCGTTCTGCGCGTTGTGTACAGTGGTTTGGAAGACACGATGGCTGTCAAACACAATGTCTTAGTAGTGTATAATATGTAACATGTACAGAACCAAAACAAATTTCTTGACTCGGATCTTTAATCTACAAAATTTTCAACCAAAAAAAAAAAAAAAAAAAAAAAAATGTGGATGATTAAAAATAAAACTCATTCTTATATTTAATGATATGGATTATTCGTCTTATTCATTCGCGATACTACTGATGTCCTTTTGTCGCGAGGTTACTTTCTGCCCTGTAACACCGTTGTTGTTGATTCGTGTAGCTTTATGTGGTGATGGGTGTCTTGCAGGAGCCATGGTATGCATATTTTTTCTGGGTATTTTCGAATTATATTGCATTTAAGTTTTATGGCACATCATGCAGGACGGAGGGGCTGACAAGGAAAGCTGTCTAGTCGTTCGGATGGGACGAAAAACCGAGATCCCGGGTACACATTGGCGTGCACGTAAAAGATCCCTTGGCAGTTGGAATTCGATATAAGAGTAGGCCGTAGTGCCGCTGTCCGGGCAAAATTTCCCTCATAGCACACTGTATGGCGTATGCCCGTCTTCAATAGCCCAGGTTAGGAGCAGAACAGTAGGACGTTAAACCCCATTTCATTTCATTTCATTTCATTTCATTTCATTTTATGGCACATCGACAAAATAGACATAATTTTGAGTAACAATTTGCGAGTTGTAAACTATTTTAGTTGTTTTCAAAAGTTCAACAAACGCCCGTGAACATTACCTTGTTCTAAGTGAGGGAGGGAGAGGGAAATGGGGTTTAACGTCCACTCGACACAAACTATGTCATTTCGGGACTAACATATGGTTCAATTGTATTTCCATAATTCGCTTACGCGTAGGGGTCTTTAGCAATGGGAGTAAACCGGAGGGCCCGGAGAAAACCCACGAGGTTGGACAGGCGACCCTACTTCTTGTCACGTACAACCGGTGATTCAAAACAACACCAGTTGACTCAATGACAGACTTTATGATACAGCGCACACGAGCTAACCATTCAACCCCGCCCCCCCCCCCCTTGTCCTAAGTAAATCAGTGTTTCGTTGTTCTCAAATTAGGCGAATCTAAAGTTGTTTCGAACATATTATTCAATTTTCATTAAATTTATTTTCTTAGTTGAAGTGATGAAATTTTTTAAGTACGATTTTCCCTAATTAGATTGAGAAAACCTCACTCCAAGAAATTCACTATTAAAAAAACGACATGAATGAAAGCAAATGAAAAAAATGCACCTTCATTCAAAGCAAATAAATAATTAAAGTAATTTAGACGATTGAGATAATAAGTAATACCATCGGTGTTAGCAGGTACAACTCAAATATATTTTAAAACGAGCTACAATATCATTAGAACACAACCTTCAAAACATAACTTCCGTTGGCTTTGGTCGATTTTTGGTCTAACTGAATTCATCGTTACATAAGAAGCAAAACAGAAGGCCAATACAAAAAAACATTTGCATTAAAGGTAAAATAAGAACTGAAAGTGTAATTTAGATAGTAATTTAGACGATTAAAACTAAAAAGGTTTGCTATTGACTTAGAGCAATCTGATTGAAACACAGATACTATTTCGTTTCGTTTTAATTAAAGTTTAAAATTTCGTTTTACTTTTCTTTACCAAACTAGCATCTGGGAGAGTAGTAAAATCCCGTGTTTGGTTGATGTGAGTGATTAGTTAATGGAGCGGTCTGTTGCAGCGAGTTAATCAAATGTCTGACATCATAGGGTCAAAAGACTCTCATATATGGCAACTTTCGAAACCTCCCACAACAACCGGTCAGATATTTATAATTATGTAGTGGAGATTATCGAAAATTCGAAAAAAAGGAACGAAATATAGATCTGTATTTTAATCAAATTCGGCATCGAGGTTAGCAGGTTCAACCCAAATATACAAGATGGTGGCTTGAAATCTATTGTATATAAGAGTGGGGTTTTATATAACACGAACATGTTCTGAAAACATGTTCCAGAAATAAATAAACCGAACTTCCGGGTTAAAAGTTACCTCATTCCCGACTACAACTAACAATGATGCAGAATCAATATATAACACAATCCATAGAACATGTAACCTTCCGTTAGTTGGCATCGATTTGGATACGATTTGCACCAATGCGTTTTGTTTTGCTTTTTGTAAAAGTTCTATATGAACAAAACCTAGCCCCGAGTTCACAAGGCATTCTCAGACCTAAGTTAAGAATTTACTCAATTTTTCGCCTTATTTTAACGAAACGATAGCCCTTTATAAAACTTTTGTTTTTTTAATGTATCAAATAAATCAATAAGAAACCATGTGCAAAGTTTTGCTTTTCTGGATCAAGGATTTTTCTCATAAACAGTGATTAAATGTTGAGTAAATTCTTAAAGATACATTATGGGAGATCAGATAAAGAGCTGGCAGTTCTCACTATAATAGTTAAAAACTGGATACTGTAAAGGGAATTTACTGAAAATTTCAGTCAAATTGATCCACTATATGAACCGAGAGTTTAGCGATTGAATTTTCGGCCTAGCCTCGATCATCATTACTAAAGTCGGTAGGATAAAAAAAAAAAACATAGTCTGGATTATCCATTTCATGATTTAATTATGAATGGAAGTCGAACAGCAAATCGGAACCTAATCCAATAAACATCGCAGCTCAACGCCTCGAGACTTCATTATGGTCTGGATAAGTTAATTAATGTCTAATTAATAATTAAGATAACATTTCAGGCCTAAAGAAAGACCTGCAATAGGCAGATTTAGCTCTTGCATAATGTATGTTTAACTTAAGTCTGAGAATGCTTAGTGAACCCAGGACCTGATTGTATAACCTTAAACGATTCTCGTCTATTCTGGCATATTGTCACTTTAATGGCAACGATCTTTAGTTTTGGGCCAATATGTTTTGTTTTTTTGGCAAAATTTGATGACATTTTATAACCACTAAAAATTAGTCTCCTTTATTCTGGCATGTTGTCCCTTTAATAGCAACGATCTAATTTTGTTTTAAACATCAACATTATTACAAGGTAACATATGTTAATAAGCAAGCCAGCTAAACACGACCGTTTCCAGTACAAGAGAGTAAATTAACTGTAAATGATGTACAAAACATTAATTGAGTGCAGAGAGAATACAGCTTACGTAGTAATAAGTAAACAAAGCCTTAAGAGCGTTCAGGTAAATCAAAATATTATATGCACGATTAGTGTAAACCGTTAGATAATGATCAGATCAAATACTCATTTAAAGATACTTTCCCAGAAAAGTATTTATCGGGTGGTTATTTCCATTAAAAGTATGTCAAATTTGATATATATGGAAAGTACAGACACCCAATCTTACTATAGAAAAATAGTGGATTACCCCCCTAAAAAACGCCCATGGGGCAAGCACTGGGCAAACTTGTCAGGGCATCACTAACTGGCAACCCGACTGTTATCTGCCAGCTTAAGTGAGGGGACGGTTGTTATTTCTTGATCAAATGGTTAGGCGGTTTGGGGAACATTGAGGGGTGTCAACGTACAAAAGAAGTTGACAGGAATAATTAAGAATTTACTTAGGCCCCAATATGTATGGTAAATGTACAGTAAGTAATGATAAATACATCCTGAAAAATGGACCCTTCCACAAAGAAGCTAAGCTGACAGACATTGCGTCTAATAACAGCTTACTTATAGCTATAGGTATCCCCGGCGAATACAAAGTTTTGAGAAGGAATTAAAGCAACTTTTTGATAGATTGGTTACTTTAAATATGTTTTTAGTCCAAATATATCATCAAATCACAAAGTTTGTACGTGGGAATGTATCTTTAAAACCAACATCTTGAAATTCTGTTCTCAATTTGTTAATTTGATAATTCGAGAAAACCGTAAAAGCATTAAGGCGATTAAAACCACCAGTGAAATATTGTACACGGGTTGTGTAAGTAATTCTATAACTATCAAATTAAAAAAATTAAAAATACCTTCTTGAATTTCTATTTCAATTAGTGGTAATTCAAGAAATTCTGTTATTACTTTTATAATCTGATTAAGATCAACAAAAAGTATGAAATTTCGCTTGCTTATATCTGTATAAAGTATGAAAAGGAAAAGATACATAATTGAGTTTGCCGTCTTATTCTTCTGTCCCGACCATGTTGATAAAGACTTGTACATGTATATGCCATGCAATGACATGTATATGCCATGCAATTTGCTATGCGAGAAAACTTATTGTCATCTGACAGCTGAGATTTGGCCCACTCTTATTTCCGCCCGTCCAACCTCGTGGGTTTTCTCCGGGTCCTCCGGTTTCTTCCCACTGCACTGCTAAAGACGCATAGGACCAAGAGAATAATTGATATAAAATTGAACTATCATTTTGTCCCGATATGACCTAGTTTGTGTCGAGTGGACGTTAAACTCTCTCTCCCTCTCTCATTTCAATTTCAGGGGATCGTTAACGTGATGCCAATGATAAACGTCCTAACCGAATGTCTATGCCCTGCATCCTGCACAACGGAAAACCAGGATGGAAACTCCAAAGGAAATATTTCAACCAATACTGGGAGCAAACCTCATACATCCTGGTCAGTGACCGACCCCACGCCATACCGACGCATAAATTCAATAGCGAAGCTATTGTCACATTAATGGTGATTGAATTTTCTATAAAATATAGAGGACGAAATGCCATTTTTTAAATTCACTCTACAGCTCAGACGGATATGAATCTCATGGGGTATTTTAGCAATTAGCTGAAGTGGGATATAATACCAAAATTCCAAAATAATCCTCAGATGGCATTCCAACAGTCTGGCGCGAACGTTTCAAAAATCACATTATATTTGTTTCTAGGGTATAAGTAGCTTTTTAAAAGATTGCTCGTCTACGTCGGTACCAGTGTCAGAAAAATTCACTGTCACTGTCGTTGCAATCTTTGATGAGCAGCATGAAGTGAAATGGGATTTAACGTCCTACTGTTCTGTTTCGACTGGGCTAATGAATACGGGCATAGCCATACAATGTGCTATGAGGGAAATTTTCCAGGACAGTGGCACTACGGCCTACTCTTATGTATAATTCCAACTGCCAAGGGATCTTTTACGTGCACGCCAACGTGTCACATCCGAACGACCAAACGTTGTCCATTGCCATTCCCTCTATCCTGCACCACTGACAAGGGGG